AAAATAAACTAAGTACAAAACTTAGTAGCTAAACGTGGTTCGTCTAAAAGAACTACATTGACGCCGAAAGCCGGATCATGTTGAGCGTATGACCGTCTGTTCGCCTGGTTTGGGGCAATCACCATAGTGATTGATTGACTTAGCAATCAGCCATACTCTTTAAAGTATCAAAAATTTTCAATTCAATCCATCAGCCTTTGAAAATCAAGAGCACAGCCGCCTAGGGGCAAAAACAGTCGGTATACCAAAACAATCAGAATATTTAAAAGTATTCAAAGCATTCATACAAAAAGGCAAGCTATACTTAGAAAAATTTATGAAATGCAAAAATTAGCAAAATTTATGAAATGCAAAAAATCAAGCAAAGTGCAAATTGGAAAATCCGACAAAACTGCCGGATGATTCATATAAACAGTCGGCCAGAAGACCGACAAAAAAAGTTAAAATTGTCAACAAACCCCGACCCCTTGGTCGGGTAATGATACAAAACAAGCGGCACGCAGGGCGAAGAAAGTTGATATTAAAACAAGGAAAGCTTAAGTAGTAGGAGGGGGATGTTCAGTATCAGCAGTCGCATCCTTTTGGTTCCCAGTCGGCTGCTATTCATTTTCATTATCCTCCCCTTCCTCCTATTCTTCCTAGTCCGACCCCCCGGATGCGGAATCAGACGACTCGCCGTCCTCCACTTCACCAGCATTCATGATTTTGTCATTATATTCCTAGGTGCAGGCGGTAAACTGACTCTTCCAGCCTTCATAGCTGGCCTCTGGGAAAAGAGTTGCCTAGGTCATCTCCATGATGACATTACAGTCGTCCATCATGTCCTTACCAAGGCCTGCTTCTCCTCGTTGGCCCTAGAAGTGTATTTTTTGGCAAGCTGGGTTTCCTGGTTAGCCAGCTGCTGCTTCAGTTTTTCCACCCGAGCTCGGAGGCCGTTTGCTTCCTTCTCCGCCTCTTGAAGAGGCTCGAGCTTGCCCTTGAGGTCCTTGACCTGCTGTTCCAGCTCATAGACCGCTTCTTCGCAGCATCCAAGTCAGCCTTGACCTGCAGGTTGGTTGTTGCCTATGAATATAGTATGTTAGCCATCAACATTTCATTTTGGGTAATCTGAAACATGGCCTTATCGTGAGAGAGGCGGAGCGAGCATTCGCAGCTTTTGCCTCCTTGGTCTTCTTGTTGATGGGCCTACAAAGACCGTGCACTCGCAGCATAGACTGCACTCGGCCAAAAAAGACGTCAGTTACAGGTGGCTCACAAGTTATATAAACCAGAAATAGATAATCTTTACAAGTATACCTCAGCAAGAAGAGCGAGGATGGCACCAAGTTTGAGGGTGCCGACTCCTCTAACCGCCTCCATGTCCACAAGGGAGACAGCTTTCAGCATGGACTTGGCCTGCTGTACAAGATCCGGCCTCTAAGAAGCATCTGCACATTCAACATTTTTTAAGTACTTGGTGTAAATTCGGCCAATAGATCGACTGCTTTTAAAGGTACTAGACGACTGCTGATTGAATTGACCCTCAAAGGGTAAGGGAAAGGAAACAAGTCTTTGATATCTTCAGCAGCCGCCTCCTTCTCCTTCCCCTTCTCTTTCTCAGGCCGACTGCCCTCAGGTTCGGCTGGAGATTTTGGAGGTGGGTTCTTCCCTGGCCTTGAGGCCACATGTTTCCTGGATCTTCCAGGAGTGCTCACATCACCAGCCGTTTGCTTCCGAATCTTCGGATCCGGCTGTGAGTGAGAGGGGTTTGTTTGAGTCGCTCTACAACAAAAATCACAGAATGAGGAGCAGGCGGAACAACAAATATATTTTGACTTAAAACAAATGAAAGAGAATTTCACCTTGGGCGCCTGTGAAGCAGGCGACTCTCCAGTAGGCCGCTTGCTCAGGATGGCCGAGCGGTATTGAGCAGCAGCTTTCTTCGATGCCGAGAGCTTCTCCATATCTTTATCTTCAAAAGATGAATCAAAGAGTTAGTGTGACACAAAATCAACCAAGTTTTATAAAACACTCGAACATGCGGTCCACTACCTCTCGGCATCTCTCCAGTAAGGCCACAGGCGGCCAGATATGTCCCATCGTATAGCCAGTTATACTTGGGAATATAATTTTGGGGAATGAACTCCCTCTCCCAAGTCTCGGGGTTTTGTTGGATATCCACTTTGAAGAGGCCTTTGTCAAGGATCTCCTCTCTGGCTCTACGAGGAACAGGCGGTAGCTCAGATCCGCTTGTTAGGAAATGTGGGTTCCTGTTCCACCTGTTAAACTTTTTATTCTTGACTTTGTCAGGGTTGGAGGTAATGTAGAAAGTGTTCCTCCAATCCTTTCATTTGTTCTCCTTCCCCAAAGTCATCATATAGCCCTTGTGGCTAGACAACTGGAACTAGTTGGTCCCGCTTGTTTTTGGGGTCCGGCTGAGGTAGTGCATGTGGGCGAATGCTTCAAAGTTGGGGTCTACTTCGTGCATCTCGAAGCCAGCAACATAGCCTAAGATGTTGAACCAAGAGTTTGGGGCCAGTTGCCAGACGCGCAACTGGTATCCGTCCAGGATTCGCTCCATAGCCGGATGTAGAGGAAATCTTAGGCCAGCCTTAATAGCCGCCTCATAGTAGCCAAAACATTCATCCCCATAGTTGGACTTCTCTGGCCAGACTACGGTGTCCTCAGCATCCGGCGTGCATAAGATATAATCATTCCCCATGACATGGTTAGCTCTAAAGCTCCCTATTTTGTCCGCCATCATTTTCTGCCTGCCTGCGGGAACATGATGATAATAAGCGGCATATTGCTCTCGGCGGGTAGCAGACGGCTCCGCCCAATCTTCTCCCAATTCTACTGAGAGGGATTCTCTCGTTGTCTCTATCCGAGAGTGCCGCTCTTCAGAGTCATTAGAGGATTTGCTCGAAGTACTTGGCTCAGAGTCACTGCCTGAGCTCTCGGACCTAGCGTCCGCCTGATGGGCTAGATCAACAAAGCCCGACATGTCAATTTGAACCTCCTCCCCTGATTCTTCTAAAATGGAATCACTAGGGGTGCTTGGGGCGCCAGGCGGCACATCAGATAACTCACTGACAGGCGCATAGAAGGAGGAGCCGTCTGAGTTGGTCACCCTTACAGTTCTTTTAGTTCTGGCCATGGTGTCTGACTTGGGGTAGTTCGCAAAGGGTGGTCCAGTAAGGGGCAGTTGGCACTCCTAATTCTAGATTCAGCCATCCCTGGTGACCGGTTGATCACTAACCTAGGCCATGCCATGTGCTTTTGGGAAACCATTTTCAAAAAGAAAAAGAAACAATAAGAAAGCATAAAAGAAAAACAGGCGGTTACCTTTAGTCTGAAGAGATGAAGGTGCTTGAAAAATCTTCGGCAGCTGTAAGAGTAGGCAATCTAGTAACAGGTGGCAGTCGTTCTTTCTCAGAAAATGACAAAGTTCTCAAATCAAGAAGTTCTGTTTGAAATTTTTTGGAAATATCCAAAAAATGATTGGGACATGCCCTATTTAGGGGGGTGAATTTCAAGGGACGGTAAAAAAAAGGGTAAAAAACCATTGGCCAATCAGAGTGTGACACCTGTCACAAGCGCCACGTGGCAAGCCACGTCATCCTTGAGGGGCAAATGATTAGGGGATTTTAACCCCGCTACGTGTCACCTCGTGAGAGGTGCAAGGTGGACCAATCAGGCCACGACACGTGGCAGACAAATTGCCAACTAGGAAAGTGGCCTTTAACGACCTAAATTCCTAGTTAAGCCCAGTCAGTCCTAGGTTTCTGAAACCTAGTACTGGGCACGCATTATGGACCCTATAAAAGGGAGATATTCCCCCTAAGGAACATCATTTAGAAATTACTAAACACACGTGTACATTAATTGCTGAGCATTAACTCCAGCTTAGATTGCACTTCTTGAGAACTAAGGCTTGGATTTCGAGGCTGTTTGAGATAGCCGGATGATCACTTCTCTCCTAAGAGGAGTCTGATCCCCTTTACTTTTCGCTCTTTTTACATCCGAACACGTTCTAACTTGATCGTCGGAGGCGGAACTCCCACCCACAGAAGTCTCCATTGTTTTGCAGGTACATGCGTCCAGAGGTCAGTCTTGGTGTTGTAACTCTCTAGCAGGACATCTAAAAAACCCCGAAACAAGAAGGATTTAATGTGCATAATTTAATATTCTTAAATACAAATTAATAAAATCGTCTATAAGTAATTGAAATATTGATGTGTAGATATTGTATTCAAATATATAGTTATATATAGTATCAACATGTTTTGAATGAGGGCATTAAATAATACATTAATATTGATCTTCATGAGATTTTTGTGTGTGTTTATATTAATATTATGAAGTATAGTCTAAATAATTTTTTTCATGTTAAGGTAGTAAATAGTAATGTTTCTATTAATAAAATAAAATAATTTAATATGGTAACTCATTTTCACTTAGAGAAGGGAAAGAGCGGGGTTATTATCATTCAAGGAGTAGTAAAAGTATATGCACTACTTAATTGTGTATTCTAAACAATAAATAAACAACTTTAGGGGAAAAAAATATAAATACTATTATGTAGTAAATCATTATATGTCGCAAATCATATTAATATTTTCTATTATAGTCATAAATGTTTGTGTGAAAAGGTAAATCAAATCTTTTATATTTAAAGTAATTATCTTTGTTATTAACATATATAATAAATTATTTTCGTATATGATTTTATTCTATGATTGATTTTTTTTTTTTCAAAAAAAAAAATAATAATAATTAAGGACACACCAAGAAATAACACGTGTCATTGCTGGTGTGTCTTTTAGCATATAATTTATTTATATTTATATTTATAGTTTATTTATTTATCTATTATTATTATTATTATAGTTATTATTATTGATTGATTGATTATTGATATTTAAAACATATTTATTTAAAACCTTTATAAAGCACATCTATTTCATAATTCATATATAAAGACTTGTCCCATTTATTTATCAGACGGATCTAACCCATATTTTAAGTATGGCTGGTCATGGCTTTTAAAGGCCTCCATCCCTATTTCCTACCTCTCTGAGTTATTTCATTGAACCGCGCACTCAACGTTCTTCATTGAAGCGTTCTCCGTTGAATCTAATTCCTGTATCCCCTATTGAAGCAGCTTCTAAGGTAAGTTGTTTGTTGTTGTTATCATCACATCAATTTCACAATCTAGGGTTTATATTTGATCTAATCTAATTTAATTATCAGTGCTTTAAGTTTAGGGTTCGTAAATTCTTAGATTATGAAACATCTTACCCAGAAGAAAAGAAAATTATGAGCGTATTTGATTATTGAATCAAATAGCCATAGAATTTTGTATTTTTCGAGATAATTCAATATGAAATTAATTCTCTTTTCCCTGCGCTTCCTCAGGGACGGGCCTGTTTAAAATTCAGCGTAAAATCTCCTAAGTTTAGTTTTGCAAGATAATCATTGCTCAAGTCAATCTTAAAAAACCCACATAAAACCCCTTTATTAATCTATAATCATAATCATAATCAAATCAAGTTTTGAACTTTGTTTTGTAAGTGGATTTTTTGAATTGAAATTGACCTGTTTTCCCTGATAACAGGTCAGCAGCTCCTCCTTCCCTGGTTGCTGGGGTTGAGTTTTGGATTGGGGTATTTTCTGTAATTTGTAAATTAATCTATAATCATCATAATCATTATCATATTTGTAGTAATGGGTTTCAACATGGTGCCTTACTCTCGCTTGATGACAAAACGGAGTAAGGTTAAGAAGAGGTCATCAACATTGGTTGTTTCGAAACGAAGGAAGGAACTAAAATCGAGAGGGGAGAATGAGGCTGAGGCTGATTTAGAGCTCAAGCTTGAGTTGTTTAGCAGCATGATAGACGAGCTGCTGACCGAAATATTCCTACGTCTCCCAATTGACTCTGTGTGTCGATTTAAGTTGGTTTGCAAGCATTGGTGCTCTTTATTCTCTAGTGATTACTTTGTCAGTCGTTTTACCGAATATAATCATAATCAACAATGTCCTTTTACCCTAGTGTTCCAATATTCAGTTTTTGGTCCAAGTGGAAATGCGGAAATATTGAATCCTATTGGAGCCATTTCTAATCACCCTGTGTTGTCTAAGTCTCTAAGAAACAGACCACTTGACCTGAATTTCAAGAGGGACTTTAATGACAACTTTCTAAAGATTGAGCCAATGCGTGTTATGGCCTCGTGTCATGACCTGCTTCTTTGCGGTCACTTTGGTAGTCTTTATGTGGTCAATTTGCTTACGAGGTGTTGGATACACATTCCCCCTCCTCCTATCCGCGACCAGGATCGTGAACGAACTATTTTAAACTTAATGCAGTATCCAAAAGCTGGACTTTTGTGTTCCCATGATAATAAGAATGGAGATGGCTTGTGTAAATATAAGGTGATTTTACTTCCTGGTATTCGTAGCGATATCATGTTTCCTCAACCGTGTGTTGTCGTTCCGCCTGAAATATATGCCTCACAGTTTAGCGTTCGAATCTTCTCTTCAGAGTCGAGACAGTGGGTGGACATCGCTGTTGATTGGTACCCCTGGTCATTGAATGCTTATCTCTCCTGTACCCCTATTCTATCTCACGAGGGCAAGTTACATTGGCTAAATGGACCCTCGCTTGTTTCTCTTGATGCAAATGCAAATAATCTCAGCTGCCATTCAGTTGACCTACCAAATGAATTATCCATTAAGCCCTCTTTAATCTTTGGATATTGCTTTGGAGTGTGCCAAGGGAAGTTTCGGTTGGCTCGTCTTATTTACAAGAAGGCTGATGGCGGCACTGTCCTGCTTGTTTGGGATTTGGAAGACTATCACAAGGGGGTTTGGCAGTCGGCACACAGGGTGATACTTCAACATCAGCCATCTCTTAAAAAATACGATTATAGGTTCAGGCTCATGGCTTTTCATCCCTTTGATAGGGACATGGTATTTGTGGACATGAATGGTGTCTTTCAGTTCAACATGAGGACAGGGATACTTGAGAGTTACCATCAACTGAAGCTTGAAAAAGGTTGTTATTGTCGAATGTTACAACGACCATCAATTCCGCTGCTCTTTCACCGAGGGTTCCCAACAGCAGTATCCGTACCCTCATAGGCCTGGCTTTAGAAGCTAACGTCAAAAATATTCTTTATCCACACTTCTGTGCAAGAAGTCAGAACACTGGTAAGTGAGTGTTTATTGGATGTAATCTGTCAAAATACAAGCAGTTATATAGGCACCAACGGGTGATCACATGGTGGTGGCTTTCTTATTTGTTTTTTCCAATAATTATATATTTATATGTATAATAATATATAATACTTCAATTAGCTTACCCTGCTTTTGAGATTAAGGTAGTGCTTGTTGATTGTTAATACTTCAATTTTCCGCTAAAAATTATCTTCAGTAATTCATTATTTAAAAAAAAAAATTACAACTCTAGAAAGTGTGTTTTTTTGCATTTTGGAATTTTACAATTTGGTTCATGTAGTCTACCCCGCTTTTGGGATTAAGGCATTGATTGTTGATTGTTAATACCTTAATTTTCCAACAAAGATTATTTTTAGTAATTCATTCTCTTTTGTAAAATTTATAATTCTAGAAAGTGTTGTCCATTAAAAAATAAAAAATGAAAAGATTTATCGGCCCCTTTATCAATTGGAACTTATAAAGTATGAAAGACAAGCATGTTGAACTTGATATTCTAAAGTTCAGCATAATTAATAAGACAACAATTAGTACATTTGGAACTATGAATCAAGACCTATTATCTTCTAACATTATAATTAAGAAATTTTATTGGTTTTTTTTTTTTTTTTTTTTTTGGTTTATATACTTAATTTTTAACTATTGTATGTATATTTTTAAGGACCGGCTTCATAGTCTTCTTGACCTCGAACCATATATGACTAACATGAGGTGTGCACTCTATGAATCACAAGCAATTAAAGCAAGAAAATACCGCCAAAAAAGAATGACTGTGGTAGCATAACTACTATTAGACTCATGCAATATGCATGGTTTACTATAGAGAATGATCATTCCCTCAATGTCTTTCTTTGCACCATTTGATCTAATAAGCTCTAAGAGTTACATGAGTTCTTTGTCTGTTTGTGTGTGTAAATACCGTGATAGATTAAATCATAAACTAAACTAATAACTTCAAATAATTTTGTTATGAAGATTTTTTTATTAAGTGAATGCAAATGTTTAGTCTTGATAAAATGATATATATTGTATGCTGTATGAGAAATTAATCTTATGCCTTTTCAAACTTAGAAATGTCATTATTTACATAGGGAATTTTCTGAGTAGCTGTGGTTGAACCTGAAATGTGCAGTGGATTAAGCAAAGTTTGTTTCCCTGTTATTGAAGATCCATTGTGTTCTCTGTAGCATATTTTTGTGAAGTTTGAAAGTGTCCATGTGTTGGCCTCTGTTTTTTGCTGTCTTGCTTGAAGTATAACTATCGTAGTTCTGGTTTTCTTTGATTAGTTCATTGCTCGGTTTGGATACCATCTTCTTATAATTGTAATACTAGGTATCTTTTCAATATCTTATTAATTAATCTTGGAAACAGATTAGATAGATGGTGAAAAAGAAGTAGATATTTTGTCATCATCTTCCTTGCAATTGTTTACCTTTCAATATCTCTGAAAGATATTCTGGCATCATCTTCCTCATTTTCTTTGCAATTATAACATCAAGTGAATTGCTTTTGTTGCTAATTTTATTTAGTAAATCCTTGATAGTAAGTTGGGTTATAATTCTTGTTTTGTTTGAGCGTTGATGCAATCATATATGAACAGTAAAGCTTGTTTAGCATCCAGATTTTTAAGCTTGAGTTAGTGACATCTTGTCTGTAAGTTTGGTGCATATTATACTTTTGGCTATGTTACCTGGACTCATATATTCATGTACGACTAGGCTATTTAATGAAAAATTTCAATGACTATGGCTCAAAATGAAGTGTCCAAGTGTCTATATCCACGTCCAAGTGTTAAAGACTTTTAGTTATCTTGTTGGTTTCAAGGTAGTGTTGCAAATTTTTATTTTACTCGTGCTGGCTTGGCTTGGATCAAAATGAGTGATATTTGATATATCTTGCCAAAGAACAGTATTGAACTTGAAAGTTATGGATACATTTGTTATAGTAAAATGGAAGCTTAAGATGTATACAAAGGGTTTAATTCTGTAATCCCTAAAAAGGGAGGAGCCTGCTTACTGTTCATTTGAACGATGCCATTTCTCTTTTTCCCTCACTTTTATAGTACTTATGTGTTGTTGCTTGGATGCACGTGTTCCCCTCTTTCTTGTTGTTTCTTGGTTCTTCCTTCTCCTTCTCTCAAATGGCGATTGTACGACATCTTCTTTTCATTTCTCCTCCTCTTCTACCTTCATTGGTGCTTGTATGGATCTTTGGCTTGCGGTTTTGCTTGTAGGGAGTAAACCTTCTACCTCGGCAGGTCATGCACAGTTGGCATTGCGTTGTGGGCCACCATAATTGCTTGTGTGGTTTTCATATGGTACTTACGCTTCATCTATATCCAGAAAATTGACGAAAGTGAGCTTTTTTTTGGAACAATGTTTCAAAATAGACAAGTGGCAAAACTATTTACTAAACTAAGCTTTTAGAGGGAGGGTGGCGTTTTTATCCTGCCAGGCATTGCATTGCATCGTGGCCACCTATACTACCCTACCCAGACCCTACCCATTGCCATCACTACCCTCAAGTAGAGTACCCTCTCAAAGCAGATTTAGTCCAGGACACTTAGGCAAGTGCATCTCATCCTCCCTCTATTCTCTTTCTAAAAATCAATACTTCCAGGTCAAGCAAGATGGAAACAGTTACATGTGCAAAACAAACTCATACTTACTTTCTACCCAATATGATCCGCACAACATCATGCATTAATATCCGTGCAAGGTCATCCACAGTATCAGGTAGAGTGGCACTAAACAACATTATTTATGGGTTTGAACAGGCCTTGACAACAAAATCAATCTGCTCCAAGCTCAAATAGCTTATCAGATTCATCAAGAACAAGAAATTCAGCTCTGCAAAACGAAACAAGATGGTATTAATATAGATTACCCCAGCTAAAAATCAAGCTTAATCTGTTCAATCCAATATACGAACACTCTTTGAACGTCATATTCAAGTGCATAAATGATCTGAATATGTTTGACAAGAAATTAGCGAGTTGTGATTGAAACAAGTGTAGACATTCTGAAATTTAATTGTTTAAGATAATAAATGTGTAAATTCTGATATCCGTCTTAGTAAAGTAGTGAATTAAGTTTATACACAAATCATAGAGCCATAAAAATTCTTATTATGATTTGGCAAGATATTATAGTGAACATAATAACTTTATACTGGCGAATTCTAACATAAATTTTATATAGACAATAAGATGCCTTAAGTCAAACCTTATATTAGTCCAAGTCACCTCAAATCTTAAACAAACTCTATTATCAGTCGCCAATTCTTCTAAGATTGGCTTTTATGGTCACCGCATATCCCCATATATATATATATATATATATATATATATATATATATATATATAGGGGAGGGATTCGGTAAGAACCCCTCCTTATATAAGAACTCTAGGATATAACAATTAATCTCAACCGTAGGATTAAGTTACTTTGGACGATTAAGATTAAAACACATATCCTCCCTCAAACCCTCTACCAACCGTCCAAAATTTTCTCTCTCCTCTAACTTTCTCTCTCTTCGTGTTCATCACTCTCTCTCCTCAAACCCCCAAAAATCTCCATAGAATTTGTAATTTGATGGATTTTCAAATCAAGTATGTTTTTTTTTTCGATTTTGTTCAAATTTTCATGAAATTAGCATGATGTTCAAATAGATTTTGCGATTTTTTGATTTGATTTTTGCGATTTTATGTTTTGCGATTTTTGTGATTTGATATTTGTGTTTTTTCTATTTTGATTTTCATGAATTTTGCATGAGTTTGATTTTAATGAATTTCGCTTGGAGTTTGATTTTTTTGAGTTCGATTTTTCAAAATATAAGGTTCGAATTTAAGGTTTGATTTTTGCGGTTATAGATTCAAATTTAGGGTTCGGTTTTTGCTTATTTTTGCGGATCTATAGTTCGATTTTAGATTTTGAATTTCAGAGATTTAGTGTTCGAATTTAGGGTTTGATTTTTGCGGATTTCGATTTCGAATTAATGGCTGGTGGAGGCCAGCATTGTTGTCGGTAATGGCTCTGAGGTTGTTTCGCCGGCTGACGGTGTAGCTGCGCTTGTTGTGCCGGTGAGGGGTTTTGGACTGGTGTGAGGTGGAGGTTATGGGCTGAAATTGGTGATGTTGGTGCGATTGCCCCTGTTTGTAGGGGTTGTGGTGCGGTGGTTGATTTATGCGGCAACAACTAATTGGTTAGGGGTTGTTGGTTGTGATTGCAGGGGTGCGGACGTGCGGTGGAGCAGTGAGTGGGATTAGTGAGATGGTTGTGAGTTTTGGTGCGTGGGTATAGGGGAAGAGCATGAGAGAATGCGCTTGGAGCAGGGGAGAATACGCTTGGAGTAGGTTAGTGTTTGTGAGTAGTTGGTATGGCGTGGGATTAGGAATTGTGGGGTGAAGGAGGGCAGCAGTCCCTTTGGTAGCTCGAACTGAAAAAACCCGAGCTTCAAACTCTCATCACGTACCTACACACAACTATTCAAGGTTTTAGCGATTTGGTACTTCGAATTTTTTTTTTATTATTTGGCCTATGTTCTAAATTAGTTCTATGTTATAAATTATTTATACAATGTAGTTAATTGATTAGATGTTCTGAATTCTGATTTTGATAGCTTAGATTGGTCTTTTGTGAAAAAACATGGAAATAATGTGGAGCTTGGCAACGATGTAAAAAAATTAGAACATAGGAAAAAAAAAACTTATTTAGAACATAGGAAAAAAAAAACTTTAGAATATAATTAGACTAAATTTAGAACATAGGAAAAAAAAAATTAGAACATAGGTAAAAGAATATTTAGAACATAGGAAAAAAAAAACTTTAGAGCATAGGTAGAAAATATTTGAAACATAAGAAAAATTAGAACATTGGTTGAAAAAATTTAGAACATAAGTAGACTAAATTTAGAACATAGGAAAAAAAATTAGAACATAGGTAAAAGAATATTTAGAACATAAAAATAAAATTAAAAAAAATAAAAATAAAAAATACTTTAGAACATAGGTAGTAAAAATTTAGAACATAGGAAAAAAAAAAATTTAAAACATAAGTAGACTGAATTTAGAACATAGGCAAAAAAATTTAGAATATATGTAAAAGAATCTTTAGAACATAGGAAAAAAAAACTTTAGAACATAGGTAGAAAAAATTTAGAACGTAGGAAAAAATTAGAATATGGTGTTGATCTTTCCACGTTGTTCTTGTCGATATGTTTATAAAATTTCAATGTTATGATCTAATATACACTTTTAAGATATGCAAGCAACTGACATAGCTTAGCATGTTCTAAACTCTTTTTAAGCATATT